ATCCTGATGCCGTATCCATCACTGAAGTCTAGGAACTTTTTTCTGGTGAAGTTAGTCCCGTGGTCAGTGATGATACAGTTAGGAACGCCGAACCGGTAGATGATGTCAAGGAAGAATTTGATCGCCTCTTCCGAGCGGATTTTGGTAATGGGCTTGGCCTCTATCCACTTGGTGAACTTGTCAATTGCGACGAGTAGGTGAGTGAAGCCGCCTGGGCCCTTTTTGAGGGGCCCTACCATGTCGAGGCCCCAGACCACAAATGGCCAGGTGATGGGGATGGTTCGGAGCTCCTGTGTTGGCAAATGGGTTTACCGGGCGTAGAACTAGCATCCTTCACACCTGTGGATGACCTCCTCGGCATCTCGTAGCACGGTGGGCTAGTAAAAACCTTGGTGAAAGGCTTTTCCAACCAGTGACCTTGGGGCCGCGTGATGTCCGCAAATCTCGGCATGGACCTCGAGGAGGAGCTGCTTCCCCTGGTTGGTGGGGACGCACTTCATGAGCACTCGTGACGGACTCGTTTGTAGAGCTCATCACCGAGCGTGATGAAGGTCTTGGTGCATCGAGAGATCCGTCGGGCTTCAGTCCTTTCGGGTGGGAGAACCTCCTCAAGGAGGTAGGCGAGTAGTGGTGCTCGCCAGTCGGTTTGATCGAGTGCCAATACGGCGAGGGCGACGTTTGTGGGTGACGTCGTCACTAGAGGTACTAGGATCGGAGCCCCCGAGCGTTGGCTTGGCGTCTGGGTCGAAGCCCCTGGGTGTTGGCTTGGCGTCGGGGTCAGAGCCCCCGAGCGCTGGTTGGGCATCGGGGTGTGTTAGGGTCAGACCTTCCAGGATGCGGGCGGATGGCTCGTGGACGTCGTTGATGAAGACCCCGCTTGGGGATTTATCCCTCCTGCAGCCAATTTCGCAAGAAAATCAGTGGCATCGTTGTCCCTTCAAGGGATGTGATGTAGCTCGATCCCCTGGAATTTGTCCTCGAGCTTGTGCACCTCTTGGCAGTATGCTGCCATGAGGGGGCTCTTGCAGGAGGACTCCTTCATGACCTTATCAATGACTAGCTCCGAGTCACCACGAACGTAGAGTTGCGTAGCAGCGAGCTCGACGGCGATGCGTAGTCCGTTGATGAGGGCCTCGTACTCCAGCGGTGTTGTTTGAGGCTGGAAAGTGGAGGCAGATGGCATAGCGGAGCCTACTCCTGTCTGGGGAGATCAGAACCACTCCAGCCCCCGAGCCAGGTGCCATCACGGACCCGTCGAAGTACATTGTCCAGTACTCGTGGGTGACGTCCGGGGTCGGTAGCTATACCTTTGTCCATTCAGTGACAAAATCCACGAGAGCCTGAGATTTAATGGTGGTACGGGGGATGTACCTCATGTCATGTCCCATGAGCTCGAGTGCCCACTTAGAGATCCGTCCCACGGCGTCGTGGTTGCGGATGATGTCCCCGAGTGGGTATGAAGTGACGACCGCGACTTCGTGGTCGGTGAAGTAGTGCAGGAGCTTCCGGGTCGCCATCAGCATGGTGTATAGGAGTTTCTGCACCTGGGGGTACCGGACCTTGGGGTCGGTGAGTACTTCACCGATGAAGTACACGGGCCGTTGGACCTTAAGTTGGTGTCTCGGCTCCTCCTTTTCAACGACCAGCGCGGCTCTTACCACATGGTTGCTGGCCACGATGTAGAGGAGGAGGGGTTCTCCTTGTTCGGGAGCAATGAGGATCGGGGCTGACGTCAGGGACGCTTTGAGGCTCTCTAGGGCCTGCTAGGCTTCCTTGGTCCAGACGAAAGTGCCCGTCTTTTTTAGGAGCTTGTAAAGTGGCATCCCCCGTTTGCCGAGCCGGGAGATGAATCGACTTAGGGCAGCCAGACAGCCGGTGAGCCTTTGTACGCCCTTGACGTTGCGTATGGGACCCATGTTGGAGATGGCCGTGATTTTTTTGGGGTTGGCCTCGATGCCGCGCTCGGACACAATCTATCCTAGCAACTTCCCCTTTGGAACCCCGAAAACACATTTTTTGGGATTCAGCCTGATGTTGAACCTTCGGAGGTTCATGAACGTTGCGGCCAAGTTTGCGATCAGGTCACAGGCTTGAGTTGTTTTGACCACTATGTCATCAACATAGACGGCGATCGTTGGTCTTGGCCGCTCGGTTTGGTCAGGCTGATCGAGCGGGTCGATTTGGTCGGTGAAGCATTGCTGCATGCACCTTTGGTAGGTGGCGCCAGCGTTCTTCAAGCCGAATGGCATGGTCACATAGCAGTACGAACCATACGGGGTGATGAACGAGGTTGTGAGCTGATCAGACTCTTTCATCGCGATCTAGTGATAGCCTGAGTAGGCATCTAGAAAGGAGAGGATCTCGCAACCCGAGGTGGAGTCGACTATCTGGTCTATGCGTGGCAAAGGAAAGTGATCCTTCGGACACGCTTTATTGAGGCCAGTATAGTCAACGCACATTCTCCACTTCCCGGTCTTCTTTTTAACAAGAACGGGATTGGCAAGCCAGTCGGAGTGGAATACCTCTCTGATGAATCCGGCTGCCAAGAGTTGGCGATCTCTTTGCCTATGGCCCTGCGCCTCTCGTCGTCAAAGCGACGCAGGCGTAGCTTGGTGGGCTTCGAGCCTGGGATGAGGCGTAGTGCGTGCTCGGTGACCTCCCGTGGTATGCCCGGCATGTCAGAAGGCTACCATGCGAAGACATCGTGATTGTCGCGTAGGAAGTCGACGAGCTCGCATTCCTATTTGGTCGGGAGTTGGGTCCTGATACGGACCGTCTTGGTTGGGTCAATTCCCACCGCCTTGGTTTCCTCGAGTGGATGGAAGGCTGCCAAGGAGGTTGGCTTGTTGCAGTTTGGGATTGCTGGGGCTGTCGATTCCCCGAGCCGTGGGAGCTCGGATGAGTTGACGACCACAGTGGCGAGCTCGTAGTGTTCGCGGTCGCACGTGAAGGCATGTGAAAAGGCGCTGCTCACAGTGATGACACCGTTCGGTCCCGGCATCTTTAGCTTGAGGTAGGTGTAATTGGGGATTGCCATGAATTTTGCGTAGCATGGCCGCCCCAAGATGGCTTGGTAGGACCCTAGAAAGTCCACCACCTCGAAGGTGAGGACCTCCGAGCGGAAGTTGGCCATAATTCCTTGCGCGCGAACATGGGCAGGCAGAGTTGATCGCGCCCCAGTGGATATCTCTGCGCCCCGGGATTACCCCATGGAAGGAGAGCCGCCGCCATCGTGAGTTCCGATCGGGGATGTGCATGGCGTCGAGGGTGTCGACATAGAGGATGTTGAGGCCGCTGCCTCCGTCCATCAGCACCTTGGTGAGGCGCTTCTTGCGGACGATGGGATCGACGACGAGCGGGTAGCGTCCTGGTCTCACGACGTGGGAGGGATGGTCCCTCTGATCGAATGTCATCGGAGATTCCAACCAGCTGAGGAAGGAGGGGACGACCGTCTCGGCGGCGCATGCCTCCCTATAGCGTACCTTGTGCTGGCGCTTAGACCAGATGATGTCAAATCCACCGAAGATCATGATGCATTCATCGGCATTAGGGAAACCGTCTTCATCCTTGCCCGCCATGCCTCCTTTCTTGGCTGTCGTCTCTGAATCTGACTGAACTTGTCTCTCCTTCTTCGCCCTTTTATAGATGAAGGGGATGGTCTTACAAGTGAAGCGTTTGAGGAGCTTGCGTTGTCCTTGTAGAGGTGTTTGATGGGGTAGGCGTGGTTGGTGCATGGGCTATCCATGAGTTTGTTGAAGTGGTCAGGCAGGCCCTATTGGGGCTGCTTGCCCGTGCAGTCAGTTGCGGCGACCAACGCAGGGTTGTCCGATCGGCGCCGGTCCTTTTTGTTCTTCTTGCCTCTCTGTGTGGTGGGGCCCTCGTCTTGGTCCGTGCGCTTGGCCTTGCCTCTGTCCCGGCCTCCGTTGAAGACCGTTATCGCTCCGAGCCGCTTCGGTCATGAGGGGAGGCGTAGTGAAAGTGCGACGTCGTCGATTATTATGGAAAAGTCACAGTTGTGGTGTCACGGGTGGTACCATAGTATAGGGGAGGCTTAAGGCATCAAGCTTGTGGATTAGGGACTCGCAGGTCGTCCCCCATTGGGAGAGGAAGGAACATTTTGAAAGCATTGACGCGTACTCGCGTCGATGACATCATGGGAGGGAGTTGCATCGTTAAGGGGAGAACCTACGGATGTAGTCCTGCGATGGACTCGTTGGGAGCTAAAGTAAGTAAGTTAAGTTTAAGTCATAAGGTGAGATGGCAACTCTTGAGGTCCCAGGAGTTCCAGGCGACGTCGACGGCCCCTCGTCCACGGAAATTCCCGGCGAAGACCCTCTTGAGGTCCGCCCTAGAGATCGTGGATCTTTGTCGTGTGGGAGGAATTCAAACCATGCCCGAACATGTTCCCCCACGCAGATGGGGAGATACTGAATGATGAAGGGAGAGGGTAGGCGGTGGGGTTAGGGTCGGCCAAGGGGGTGGGAGCGCGTGCGCCAGCTTGGCTGGCGCTTGCCGAGGGCCATATGAGGAGAGGGGGGCGGGGCCGTGGGACACCTCCATCTGGGACTTGGTTGGATCCCATGGAGGCAGCGATTGTGGATCCACTTGAACTGGGCACGCAGAGGAGGCATAGGGGGGAGGGGAGGAGGAGGGCTACGCCGGCGCAAGCCGAGCGTGCTGCAAGGGAGAGAGTAGGGGCGGGGAGGCGACATGGCAGCGGGTTGGAGGCGGGAGGCTGGTGGCGGCAGGAGGAGACGGCCGGCGAAGAAAGTTGCTGAAGAAGAGAGAGAGCGAGCCTCGGGCTGGGCCAGGACCCGGGCCCGCATGTCGCCGTGGCCCGGCCGTAGGGGCTCGGGTCGGGCTAAAAAACGGGAGGGAGTGGACAGGCCGGGCGGGTGACGTAAGCCGAGTGCCGTCGTGCCGCGTCGTGTCGGGCGCGCGTGCCGTGCCTCGGGCTGCATGGACAGCTATAGTGCAGACTCCTGTTACCGATCTCACAGCTGTGGATGAGGGCCGTGGCACTGTGCTGTCGCTCAAGTTGGATAGGCTGTCAGATTCAGTTTCTGGGCTCACTGTAGTTGATCCCAAAGGGTATTTGACAGACCTGAAAAGCATGAAGATCACTAGTGATGCTGAGATTTCCGACATCAAGAAGGCGCGACTGTTGCTCAAGTCGGTGACGCAGACAAACCCTAAGCACCCACCCGGTTGGATTGCTGCTGCTAGGCTCGAAGAGATTGCTGGCAAACTCCAGGTTTCTCGGCAGCTCATCCAGCGTGGCTGTGAGGAGTGTCCCAAGAACGAAGATGTTTGGCTTGAGGCGTGCCGTTTGGCTAATCCAGAGGAGGCGAAGGCTGTCATTGCCCGTGGTGTGATGTCAATTCCAAATTCTGTGAAGCTGTGGTTGCAGGCAGTAAAACTTGAGAGTAGTGATCTGAATAAGAGCAGGGTGTTGAGGAAAGGGTTGGAGCACATTCCCAATTCAGTCCGGCTATGGAAGGCTGTAGTTGAGCTTGCAAATGACGAGGATGCAAGGCTGTTGCTTCACAGGGCTGTGGAGTGTTGCCCATTGCATGTTGAGCTTTGGCTTGCCCTTGCGAGGCTGGAGACCTATGACCAAGCAAGGAAAGTACTTAACAAGGCGAGGGAGAAGCTCCCCAAGGAGCCTGCCATTTGGATTACGGCTGCAAAGCTAGAGGAGGCGAATGGGAACGCACAATCAGTTAACAAGGTGATTGAGAGAGGTATCAGATCTCTACAGAGAGAAGGAATGGATATTGATAGGGAAGCATGGTTAAAGGAAGCAGAAGCCGCTGAGCGTGCTGGATCGGTTTTGACTTGCCAGTCTATTGTGAAGAACACTATAGGCATTGGCGTTGAAGATGAGGATCGGAAGCGTACATGGGTTGCTGATGCCGAGGAATGCAAGAAGCGTTGTTCAATTGAAACAGCACGCGCCATCTATGCACATGCACTGACTGTGTTCCTTACTAAGAAGAGTATTTGGCTGAAAGCAGCTCAGCTTGAGAAGAGCCATGGGACTAGGGAGTCACTTGATGCACTCCTCAAGAAGGCTGTTAACTACAACCCACGAGCTGAAGTATTGTGGCTTATGGCTGCGAAGGAGAAATGGTTGGCTGGGGACGTGCCTGCTGCTCGTGCCATTCTTCAGGACGCTTATGCTGCTATCCCCAATTCGGAAGAGATCTGGCTGGCTGCATTCAAGCTCGAGTTTGAGAACAATGAGCCAGAGAGAGCGAGAATGCTTTTGGCCAAGGCCAGGGAAAGAGGAGGGACAGAGAGGGTTTGGATGAAATCTGCCATTGTTGAGAGGGAATTGGGGAATGTTGGTGAGGAAAGGAGATTGTTGGAGGAAGGTTTGAAGCTATTCCCTTCATTCTTCAAATTGTGGTTAATGCTTGGACAGATGGAGGACCGGCTTGGTAATGGAGCGAAGGCCAAGGAGGTTTTTGAGAATGGCCTCAAGCACTGCCCCAGTTGCATCCCTCTTTGGCTCTCTCTAGCTAGCCTAGAGGAGAAGATTAGTGGCTTGAGTAAATCACGTGCTGTCCTCACAATGGCTAGAAAGAAGAACCCTGCTACACCTGAACTCTGGCTTGCGGCAATTCGAACTGAGTTGAGGAATGGGAACAAAAAGGAAGCTGATGCTATACTGGCCAAGGCATTACAAGAGTGTCCAACAAGTGGTATTCTGTGGGCTGCAGCTATTGAGATGGCACCACGCCCCCAGCGTAAAGGAAAGAGTACGGATGCTATTAAGCGAAGTGATCATGATCCACATGTCATTGCAACCGTGGCCAAACTTTTCTGGCTTGACAGGAAGGTTGATAAAGCTAGGAGTTGGTTGAACAGGGCTGTTATATTGGTGATTTTTGGGCATTGTACTACAAATTTGAACTTCAGCATGGAAATGCAGACGCACAAAAGGATGTTCTGAAAAGATGTGTTGCAGCAGAACCAAAGCATGGCGAAAAATGGCAAGCAATATCCAAGACTGTTGAAAACTCACACCTGCCTGTTGAGGCTCTTCTGAAGAAAGCTGTGGTGGAACTTGATGTAGAAGAAAATGTCAATCCTGTAGGCCCCTAGACTCACTCTTTTGTGTAAGGTACCTAGACTCACTCTTTTTTGTAAGGTGTTTGCTAAATATGTTTTGTACTACTTTCCTAGTTTCCTTACATTTCTGTTAGCTTCAATATGAGCTACTTTACCTTTTAATTAATATTTCATTTCTATTGTTGAGTTAATATTTGATCATCAGTACTTGAGAGAAATTCCTGATCAGGTTCATGCATGCATTCGAGCTCAAGGCAAGCCCTTGAGTAGTTGAGTCACTGAAAAACAAGACAGACCTCTTGTTTGCCCCTGTTCCCAACTTCCCATGGCAGTCAGGGTTTCAGTTACTTGGATTATTGGATTGATGAGTACCAAGGCAGATCTGGTCCCAGTTCCTATTATTATGTCCGCTGTGTGGAGTGCCTAATTCCTAATGAACGAAGTTGAAAGACATTTTTCTCCACGTGATGTCCTGCTGAACATTTTTCAGAGAATCAGAGGTACCAGCCCTTTTTCCCCCTCCACTTCCTGATGTTCTTTTAATATATGCAGACAAATGAACTCTACAATTGGCCTATGTTGCTTTTAGCTTGCTGTTAGTCTGGGTAATTTTTTTTCTTGTTTCATTTATTAAAGCATATTCTGTTATTGCTTCAGTGTGATTTTTTGAGGCTCAGTAGTGTCAAATACTTGCCTGTGTACTGTTATTGCTTCAGTGTGATTTTTGTGGCTCAGTAGTGTTTTCACAAAGCATGAGATGGCTATGATTTCTTCACTTGGAGTATCTTCTATTGTCATGTAGACATGACAACTTTGGTGATTATTCATAGCTGGCATTGAGACGACTAAAAAGTCAGCAATTGAATAGTGGCTGCAGCATTGTAAGAACTGAGAACAAATATTAAGTTTTATTTTTTTCCTGTATGAATGGATTGATTCGTTATGCATGAGACAACTATATAGGAGATAAACACATACTAGTTTAGGTTGAGCCCGACATTTCATTTTAGTAAGGCTGAACTCTCTCTAACTAACTTCTCTGTTTTATTTGAAGTCGGAAACCATTCCCAATTTATTTTGCAGCACTCTTCCTTGCAAGCACTGGAATGCTCATAGTACATGCTAAGTTCTCGTGGAATCATGTTGACATGGTATTGCTTGCAGCTGAGTAGAAAAGGCGGCAAGGAAGAATTTACGAAGCAGCACGCAATGCGAAGATGCGCAGTTGTTCCATCAGTGTGATCGATGTTGTTGTATGGCTGAGCGTTTGGACCAGCAGGCATCCAGTTGCGAACTGACGACGACGCTAGCTGGGTACGGCTCCAATCGCAAAGCTAGCGCGCGTTCAAGTTGCACCGACGACGACGACGAGAGACGAAGATGACCGGACGACCGACGACGACCCCTCCGTCGTCCAAACCGATCGATCGATGGAGAGGTAGCACGGCTCGGTCGGCACGCGCGCGCGCATTATTTTGTTGGTGGTCCACGGGCACCACGGCACCCGTCCAAATCTTGGCCGCGATGCCAAATCCTAGTTGAAAATAACCGCTACTCCCTCCGTCTCCGTACCAGAAGGAAGGTCGTCGTGGATACGTGTAGATCAAACTTTTTTAATTTTGATTGGATTTATAGAAAATACGTGCAATATTTATATCTCTAAATAAGTTTATTATAAAAATATATTCAACGATCTATCTAATGATACTAATTATGTATTATAAATATTAATATTCTTTTATATATAATTGGTCAAAGTTTAAAAAAGTTGACTTCTCGGAAAACGATAACGACTTCTATTTTGAAATAGATGGAGTAGATTGTATTGGCTATTGATTGACTCGATCCTGGTTGATTACAATAGTTTTTTCGGCATGCCAAAGGATGCCAGGCCAAAAGTCATGCCACCGTTTCTTCGGCAACCGTTTGGTTCATTGTCACAGCTATTGCATGCTGAACTTTTTTAGCACCCTGCCGCACATATCATAGACATATTTTCGTGTCAAACATTGCCACAAGTGTGGCTTCGATTTTACTCACCACATTTTCTGTGGTAACCACAGTTTGTCAAAGGTTAGGCGTGGCAAGTTTTGATCGTCAACCAAACAGGCCCTAGTTTGCCACCGCGTCCGACGTTAAATTGATCTATCGTCCACTTATTGTCGATCGTCTCTGATGTGTAGTCGCTCTCCCAACGTGCTGAACCTCTAGCACGGCACTAGACAAGGTTAGCCGTGCCGTGCCGGTCCAGTGAGCCTGGCCGATGGGCCATGCCAAGCCCATTTAAAAAAAACAATAATCACAAAGTTCATATATCCCGCACATTAATGATAAGTCCAAATTCACACAAGCACAAATCAATCACAAATTAGAACTCGCCATGGGGAAGGCATGGATTCCTCCATGGGTGCCTAGCTACTACTCGCCTTGGCGCAGAGTTGTCGCTGCTCGCTGCACCAACGTGATGGTGCACGCCCTGCTCACCCACGCGGGCAGGAGGAAGAAGCGAAGGAGTGTCACAGTCTGGAAGAGCTGTGGAGCGAATACCAAGAGGGGAGTGGGGAGTGGGGAGTCGGGAGGAGAGGAATTGCGGTGAGGTGAGGAACTGGATCCACGAGCATCAACCTAGTACTTATGTGCTTAATTAATTTTTATAGTATGATCCTAGGTTGTATCTTTCACAAATAATACGTCGCTTCTAGACAACAATTGATTTATTGTTACTCAAAAATAGTGTTGTACCTTGATTGTCATAGTACAACGTAAGTGATTTTGAAATGTTGACCACAACTTTTACGTCCGAGGCAAAATTCTTCAGCCAGACCGCCTGACCTGTTGCCTCAAAACTAGCGATAACTTCAACTTGCATCGTCGACGATGTTGTTATACTTTACTTGGAGCTTTTGCAAGAAATTGCTCCTCCAACAAGGGTAAAAAATAATACCCTGTAGTGGACTTCCTACTATCCACACACACACCCTCTTAAATCAACATCTGAATAATCCACGATTTTCGAGATTATCTAACCCCCTATATGTGAGCATTACATTTTTGTTGCCTTGGCAATAGCATAACCGAATTGATAGGATTAGGCCGCCCGGACGGCTTTAATTTCTGGACGCAACGTGGTGGCCTAACAGCCTTACATCCCTCTACTCATGGAACATTCTCTCCTAAATATCTATTCCACTTTCCTCTCTCGTACACTAGGCATCGCTCGCTCCGACTTCCTGCTCGTCGCCTGGCGTCGGCCACCCTCTCCACCGTGCCCTACCGCAAGCGCCAGCCTTCCTGGACCTGTGGATCCCAATATGCCTGCTTCCCTCTCTCTCTCTCTCTCTCTCTCACACACACACACACACACACACACACACTTCTCTCGTCACGCCGCTCTCTCTCCCTCTCTGGTTGCTGCTCGCACGCACGGACAGGGTCGGCCGAGCCCGGAGCTCCCTAGTCGTTGTTGCTCCCTTTCCTTGTGGCCCTCTCGCGCCCCACTCCTAGCTCCACCAACGCCGCCTTAGGCTCGTAGTTCCCCCTGTGCATGCTCGTCGAGCAAATCCCCCCACCCCCTTTCCTGCTCGTCGTGGCCATAGGATAGTAACCGTGGTGAGCCATCCCTAGTGGCCCTCCACCTAGCCAGCAACGCTACCTCCGAGTCCGCCTCACCTCCCTCCATCTCATGCACGTGTTCTCTAGGTTGGATAGCTATCGACACATCGCCGCCATAGTGCCGCCTTCGGCATGCTGCTGGTATGCGTGGCCGGCCCTACACCGAGCCTCCATTCGTCCAAGCAACGAGCAGATGTTGTGCTTGAAAGCGGATATTGCAAGAGTATGTTTCAAGTGTTTCAGATATTTCAGAGGTATGTTGCAATGTTCATATAGATGTTGCAAAAGTAGATCAGGATGTTTCATATGTTGCAATGGTTGTACACTTATGTTGCAAGCGTCTGTTCCAAATGTTTCATCCGTTTTCCAAACGTACGTTACAAGTGTGTTTATATGGATGTTGCATATGTTTCATACATACGTTACAAGTGTTTTATGTGGATGTTGCATATTTTTTCAATGGTTTTTCAAGTGTTTTTAGATGTTTTTGTAAGTGTTTCAGACGCATGTTCAAGTGTTCCATATGTCTTCATATGTATGTTGCAAATATTTTATCTATATGTTTTAAAAATAAATCGGATGTTGCTATTGGGGACCCACCTGCCGCAGGAGGCGTCCGAGCGGGGAAGTAGAGTGGGCGTGAGCAGTCTCCGTGTAGGGTCAGGACCCACGGGCGACGTTCGGACGGTGCGTGTCCTCACGTGGCCACGTGAAACGGAGGGTAGGCATGGATGTCCGGACGCAGCTTTTCTTTACAGCTTTCCGATGAACGTAGCATCCTTGGATTAGACTAATATCTGCCGAGCATTCCAGTTACAAATGCCAAAATCTAACTGGACCAGTATAAACTTGTGCCTACGTAAGGCTTAGTACACATCAATTTGAGATAATCCCGCACGCACGCGTCCAGTCCAGACGCTGAGAATGAGATGCATATATGCTTTGCTGCATGGATGCATGCACCCGTCCGCCAAGCAACTCGTGCGTGGACTTGCGGGTGCATCCATGATCCGTCCAGCGCCACGCGCACTACTGAGTAGGCATAGGCATCTAGGCAGGCATGCGACACGACACGGCTCTCGGCCTCGCCTTCTCGATCGGGCGCGCACTAGCTTGCCGCCGAAAAGCGCAAAGCGCATGCGCAATCCTGCCACGAAACGATCCGATCCATCCATGGACGACAGCCCACTCCGTTCTCGTCCTGCTGGAGTGGCGTCTCACATTACACACGCTTGCCTGGCCTGCCTGCATGCTTAAAGAACAAAGGTTCCCGGTAATCTCTACTTTACCTGAGTGCGACATGCATGGCAGAACGACATGAGTGATGGGTTGACATTTCGGTAAGTCAAATCAATAACAAATGGATGCCTGCCTGCCAGATCCAAGAGAAGCCAATAATGATGTGGATTAAAGTGGGCTTA